TTTTTAAGGAATGCAGACTCTTTTCTCAGCTCCAATAAGTGGTTATTATTCCACTTTAGCCCTAAAAAAAAAAACGTTGGTGGGTCACTACTGGAGAAATTTTCACTATAAAAACCCATGTGATGACCTTGCTTTGCATCTATTCTGTGAATACTGAGGCCTTCAGTCTCCAGGGCACTTTTCACAGGCATCAAATTCACTTAAAAATCACACACATTTTTGGTTTGATTAAGGTGTAAATTTCTGGTTTGGGTAGGGCTTCTTATTGCCTAATTTAAACTCAGCTGTTTTATCATGGACAATCAGAACTCTACTTCCTGTTCATTTTCAAATTAAATTATGTGCAGAACCACAGTTCTATCATGTCCAAACAAAACACAAGTTATATTTTAAATTATAGAAAACCTAAAAGTGACTATCTAGGTTTCCATTTTCAGGTCTGCTATATAACTTCTTGGAGTCTATTATATATAGTCATGAATCTTCCTATAAATATCCCGGTTTCTTCTTGTTATGACTTCTATTAATAAACTCCATGCCAGGATTGAAAAAGGCAAAATGCTTTAATGGAGAAATATCAGATACAACTCAGTCAACCTCTTCTTCCTATGGAGAAAGTGACATATCCCAAACTTTACCTCATGTTTCCTAAAATAAATATCTGTTATATTGGTGCTGCTCACTGTTTCGCATTTACAGCATGTTTTCAAATGCAATTCACTTACAAGGTGAAAACTTTGTTCCACTCTGGGTTGAGGTTTTTGTAAATTGTGTGGGTCTGAAGTCTGTCGTTGCCCAACTCTAACACACAGAAAGGGTCGCTTTTACCTGTGGAAAGAACAGGTGAAAAAAATAAAATAAAACAAAGAAGGGTTAGATAATGTGATAGTAGTTAGTTCACTCTTTTCGCAGCAGGGTTGGGAGGAGGAGATCGGTAGGTCAAATAAGAATAAACTGCACTAAGGTGACTGGAAATTGCCTTCCTCTCTCTGAATTACTAAATTAACAACACAACCAATATGTATTCACTGTTTTCCTCTCTGAAACTTTATCAAAGCACTTTCTATTCTAATCCATGTAGGCAATTTGTTCTAGTAACAGAGAAATGAAAGCTTATCAAGAATAATCTTTACATCTTTGGTAACTAGGAAGATCAGCCAATGTTGACTATCAAGAAAAATGACATGCAATAAGAGAGGTAGTGCCATTCTGAACAAGTGTCCGTTTTTATATTCTCCTCCACAGATGATCAAGGGTTATGAACCATGAAAACTTTTAGCCTGGGTTATAGAAATGTCAGAGCTTCAGTTAGTTCAATTTGCTTTATCATCTGCCGAGAGCTTTTGCTTGTGTCAGTTGATTATATAATCATCTAAGTACATGCAGCCTCATAAGATAAGCAAAGTATTGTGCCCACTTCAGCACCAATCCTGCAATGAGATTTGCACGAGTAGATCTCTGAATCCATACAGACACCCAGTGACTTCAGTGAGAGTCAGGTCAGACTAATGGACCCAATTGCTGAATCAGGGCATAGAGTGAGAAACTTATTAAAGGAAACATCCTGTCAAAAGAGGGTATCAGAGTGGAAGCGTTTTATGGGGAAGGTATATTTCCTAGTGACTTTTCTCAATAAGCAGAGGATTGCAATACCTGCATTTGGCACAGCATGGAATCTTAAAACAATCTGGAGCTTTCAGACAAACTTCACTATAAACAGAGTTCCTGTGATATATATCTGATTTAAGTTCATTATCTTAGGTATTCATATTTACATTTAGCTCAACTACAGGCACTCTAGTCTTACTTTTATTTAGGTTATTATGTATCTCAGCCATGGAGACATTTATATAAAAGAAAACAGACATTTAAGCAGATTTCTGTTGATTTTTTAAATTGCTGTTATTAATATAGTACCCAAACTGTGCTAGGCACTTTACAAACAAATAAGGAGACCCGGTCTCTGTCCTGAGGAGTTCACAGCCTAAGTAGAAATGTTTTCCGGTATCTAAACAGTGAATATTTACCAGTCACCTTTGGAAAGTTTTAATAATCTCACATTTTAGTGGAGTCTATTCATCTCCTACCCAGCTATACGCTGGAACCAGGTACAAGTGGCAAATGTACTTAATGATGTAGAGAAACTGTTTGAAATGCAAAATGGTATATGCCAAAAGACAATCCTACTCTATAATTTTGTGTTCTGAATACCATTTTTTGGTCAGTGAGCAAATGCCGTCTTTGAACAGAATGCTCATGTGCACACAAAAACATCCAATGAAGCAGAAAAAGTCATTTCACATTGACAAAACTATTATCTAGGAATATATATAAAAAAAAAGGGGAGGCTCAAGTTTGAACTAGTTGGGGTTGACGAGGTTCCTTCTGTAGTCCCTAGACATATTTAGATCTACATTTTCAATATGGGACATGGTAACTGGTCTAAACCTGAGTCAAATAGTACCTGTGAGTTTTCAGAAAGCTCTTTAAAAGCCAGAATTGCATGCAATCATGTAATGTCCTGATTCTCATTATTACTGTAGGTTAAAAACTCAAATTTGGTAAACTGTACAGTACCAACATGCAGCAACCTATAACAGAAACACCAACCATACTGAAATCTGATCTTCATTACTGTAGTAAGTAACAAGGTATAAAATGGCATTACATTTAGAACTGGATAATTGGTCTGCAGACGTATTCCCGTCATTGAATCATCGTTGCGCTACTGAGAAAATATGACACATGCTCAGACTGCTCTTCTATTAACCCTTTGAAGTCTTTGTATTTTTATTGTCTCCTTGATTGTCTCTTTATCAGATTTTTAGCTGGACCTTAAGTTACTTTTTATCAAAAATAATACATCTGAACAGTCTCCCAGGCAGTGGAGGAAATACAGCACTGCTTTGGGAGGGTTCTACTATGGAAGCACATAATTGCTGCACTAATCATTTATGAATGGCTCAGAACAGATAATTAATCTTTATGTCTCTCATTTCATGATCAGAAATTTATGCTATTTTTACATAAAATGGCTGCATCCTTTTGCAATTTGGCGGGTCTATTACCACATAATACTAGGATATTTTCAGCACTGCCATTGCAAAACAATTTGTCATTTGCCTCATGAATCAGGCTCAGGCTCAAAGCCTGGGTTATTTTGAATATAATGACAGACTAAGTAACCTTGCACTTAAACAGGATTTCATTCTGTGCTGTGCACAAGGAATGTGTGTTTCAGACCCTTTATGAAAAGTCTTTCAATTGCAAAATCAAGATCCCCAGAATCTCTTTCAGTGTTCATTATCCCACAAATGCATACACTCTTGTTTAAGCATTTAGGGAAATGGGGCCAAATCCATTGCTTCTATAACTCCATTGGCCCTCAGTGGAGTTACACAAAGGATGAACACAGCCAAGATCCAAATCTGTCCTTGGATAAATCTCCCTGTAATATGCTGTGTGTTTGTAGGTAGAATTAGTCCCATAGGTTATAAAGGCTTTTTTTTTTTTTACTACAGTACATTTAGCCTTATTAAGTTTGCTAATGAAGAGCAGCTAAAGTAACTAATAAACCAATAAAGGCTTACATACTGTAGCAGCCCTTTATCAGTCAGGTGAAAGGCCAGCTGAGAAAACTCAAGATCAAAGGCAAAACTTCTGACCCACATAGCTCTATCCTGGTCATTATTGCACATGGACATTTTTATATTTTTTTAATGAAGATCTGCACATTAATCCTTTCAGTTCTTCAGTGCATTGCTAGTATATAAAAAAAGTCCCTTACCTGTTCCCCGGGGGAGGGAGAGAAGGGGCAGGGGGGGCTACACTTATAAGTAACATTATTTATTGGCTGAACTTTTGAAAATGTGGGCTAGTGTCTTTTATAGTCCTTACTTTGGAGAAATGCTGCTGATGTTACAATCAGAGATTGGCCTGAATAAGGGCCCCAGGTTGGGTTGACAGTGCTTTCTCTTTAGCTCTCTGCCTCTCTGATGAGTCAAAAAGAACCAGAAGATAAAGTATATTTTCATTACAATCAGACCTGTATCTGAAGTATGCACCATTAAAGATACTGGATGTAGCAGATCTCATGTTTACCACGGATTTATTTTTTTTTTAAATGTCAACATTTGCCATTATTTCATCAGTTACCACTCAGTGGTATCAGCTTCTAAGAAGTGCCCTGCAAAAATAACATAATGCCCAACACATATGATCTCCTCAAAAGAGGGGAGAAGTTATTTTTCCTATTAAGAGAGAAACTACGATATGAAGTATATTTTGGATCAGATTCACTATTTAGCTGCAATAGGAACCACTGTTCACAATTTTCCAGCATTGATAAACCTCCACTAAAAAAGGGAGCATTGGCCCATATGTTCAGGCAGCCTCAACAAGTGCTTAACAGGGTACTAGGTAAATGTGGAACATTAAAGAATTTGAGGATTTCTATAATTCTATTATTTAGTTCATGAGCTCACAAGAAGTTGCTGAGACATGGCACCTCCAGCAAACAGCAGCTGAATCATGGTCACTTTGTAGATACTTTTCCAAGACTTATTTTCCAGATTCATATTGAAAGAAGCAAGAGCAAAATAGTGCCCCAGCATTCTAAATCCTCCCAATTAAATCCATGTAATGAGGGACCAAATTTTCACCCCAGAACAGAGCTATTTTTCATTTGCCCCAATCTAGCCCTCCATTGGTTAGCAAAATGTTGTCCCAACAGTGATGAAGAAGGGTTCTCCCGATAACATGGGTCACAACTCACAAATGAACATGTATCTCAGCAAAGGGTACAACCTGCAGTAAATCTGATGTTAAAAATAAACAACATGGTCTAAAATATATATTTTAACTGCTGGCAGGCCTCTCTCTCCAGTCCAGTATACTGATACTTAAGTCTCTGGGTCTTTTTTGTGATTCCTAGATTACAGTGATCCTCTACTACCATGGAGTCAACTAGTCAGTCAGCAAAGGGAAGTGAATGGGGCTATACCCTCAAAGAATAATTGCCTGTTAGCACTACCTGACAAGTGTCATTCATATTGCAACTAACATTACTGCCTCGTAATAGCCAAGAACATATCCAGTGAGTTAATGTTTGTGATTACGTCTGTTCTACAGCCATCAGGTTCAAGCCTGGCTCTCTCCAGCTGGGGATGAATACACCTTGGACCTCTGTCCACTGGGGCTGATCACACGTCTTGTGCCACGTGTGGAATATGGTTACACCCCGCCTATCAGCTGAAAATGGAGTGCAGTGTTTAACCCGGAGCATTTAACACAGCTCCTAAAGGGGTTGTGCTTCTGAATTAAAGATCACTGGCACAAATCACAATTTACAGCAATAATAGTGGATCACTTCACTTGTGCTGAAACTAGTCTATATTACAGCCATGAATGTAGGGGCTGGAGGGTGAAGTGGTGGGACGGAGAACTGCAAGAGAAAAGTAATGACATCTCATATCATGTTCTGCAGAACTTGGGGACGCGGAATGGTTAGATGTAAACTGCTCACAGGCTACAAAGAGGCATACCATGTGACGATGGAAAAGTAATTTTCCTAGATATTCAGATGTGACCTAGGAAGACCTTGATGCCACAACAATTTGGCCACTTGAGTGCCTCTGCTTCAGACAGCAATCTCAGGTAGTTTTCCATCTATGGTTGACAGCAAGTCTAAACTGCACTTAATGAGATGGTGTGCTCTGGTGGCCTGAGCACAGGACTAGGAATTCGATCCAGCAAACCCTTATCTTAGTGGGTAAGGTTTTGCAGGATAATAGTTACAGTTCCAGTATTAGAAACAGGTACCAGGGCCAGTACTGCACACAAACATCCCACAGTTCAACTCACAAGAACCCTAATTTATTTAAGTTATTAGGAAAAAGACAAAAATTACTGGACATGCCACTCATAAATATGAAGGGAAAAGCTGTCCCCAGTGCGGTGGGCCCACAAAATCTGTTTACCACTTCAGTACCACATAAGCCCTACATTGGGGACTTAAGTGATGCATAGGGCTTGTGGGACCCCAGTTCCCAGGCATGTATTTTATCTTTAAAGCTTTAACAAGTGGGTGATACACAAATTTTACTTTGCCTTGCTAGACACATGGCACTGCCTTCTGAGTGATGGATTCACTAACATGCACTACACCTCAAAAACATGTAACATGGCATCAAAACACATCAGAAAAGACCCAAAATAAAAAGAAGACACTTAATACCTGAAAAATCTGCTGCCAACAGGTCGACTGCCTTTAAAACTTTGACCTGTAAGAAGCCTATGTCCTTCATGTCCTGAAGGGAGTTCTTTATACACTGGAAAAAAATAGTGAAGAGACTTTTTTAAATATAATAATTCAGTGAGACAGATTTTGAAGGACTACTAGAAAACCATAAGTCTTAGGGCATGTCTATACTTATGGCTAAATCAGCACTGCTTCGATCGATGCAGCAGTGTTGATTTAGTGGATCTAGGGAAACCTGCTAAGTCAATGGCAGAGTGCTAGCTCATCGAATTCTATACTCCAGCTCCCCGAGAAGCGTAAGGTAAGTAGACGGGAGAGTGTCTCCCATTGACACAGAGGTGGGAACACCGCTGTAAATCGATCCAAGTTACGTCAACTTCAGTTACATAATTTACATAACTGAAGTAGTGTCATTTAGGTCGACTTACAGCTTTAGTGTAGACTAGCCCTTAATTTTGGTCCCTGTCCCCACTGCTCAATGTTTCACTATCAGATACTCACTCAGACAACTCTACCAACCCTCATCCCATTGCAACACACTTACACTGTTCATGCCAGAATGTAAACTGACTGTTTATCATTTATTTTTATTCATATGTAATCTTCAGTGTACAAGAGTTGAATGATTAATTTAGGCAAGGAGATTCAAAGGAAACAAGCACATATCTGAATACTAAAATAGCATTATTCCAAAACTAAGTATAAGATATATTTATAGAGGCACCATGAGCCTATGGCTAGAGTACTGAAGTCAGAGTCAAGGATCTGGGCACCATTCACAGCTCTACCATTGACTCTAATCACTTAAACCAGGGGTCAGCAACGTTCAGCACGCGGCTCGCCAGGGTAAGTACCCTGGCGGGCCGCGTGCCGAACGTTGCCGACCCCTGACTTAAACCCTCCATGCCTCAGTTTCCCTGTCTATAAAATGGGGGTGATAATGTTTATCTATCCTGTGTAGCACATTAAGATCTCTGGTTTAGTACAGAAAGTACTAAATATTATCATCAGGCTTTATCTTCACAAAGTGAACAGATCAGAGCACAATCCCACAATGAAAAAAGAATTCTAAATAATACTCTCTCTCTCTCTCATCATGATTTTTTAACATTCACGGTCTCTCATTTCCTAAGATAATGTCTTAATGTAATTCAAGTTTTCAAAAGGGAACTGTTAGTTTAAAAACTGCCACATGCAAACAGCCAAATTGCTAGAGGCTAACTGCTCTGTCTATTCACTTGTCACACTAAACATAATTATGGTGTGTGATACCTTTTTCCATTAGAAGCTGTGTTATTACGACTGGGACAGATCTTCTTTTGATGCAATTTTCAGTATTTTTTTAATAAAGTAGAAACAAAACAAAAACTTACATAGCGCTGGGAAATCTGTTTCCTTTCACTGGGGTCTCCCAAGGGGCAGACACACAGATCAGAGATAGAAACTCCTGAACAGGGGGTAACAGCAATTAGCATTAGCAGAGACCCCAGATGCTTCTCCACTGGCAGTTCTAAAACATTGGTCTGCTTGCTAGGTAGCGCAGTAATATCCACTTTACACCTAGAATAACATTGTCATGGATTAATAATAAAGAGGATTACTTTAATAGGACAAATAAAACCCAACATATACATTTTAAAAAAATTAGCCTTTTTTTTTTAACCCATCAATGAGGATCAAAAGATGCAAATGAACTAAGTTTAGAAATCTAATTTACTTTTCACCATTTGGGCTGTTTGGTCAACCTGGGGGAAATGGGTGGGGGGCGGGTTGGAGTGGAAAAGGAATGAGAAAAGCTAGTTAGTTTCACTTTGTTTCTTGTCAATTTCATTTCTGGTTTCCGTGCACTAGCACAGGGATTGAATGTTAGGACTGCAGCCTCTGTAGTGGTGAGGTTTTAAATCCAACTCTGCTGTCCTCCCCCACAAAACCCCAATGTCTTCTGATTTCTAAAAAGGTAAAATTATTATAATTTGAGTGGAAATATAAAGTCGAAATGTTGTGTCTAAAATACCAGTTTCATTTAAGGCATAGACTTCATTTTATGCTACATTGTACTGTATGCCCTGATCTCCTTTACAAACCTTACTAGATCTAGGCTTCCAGTGTATTGTTATATTTCCCAGAGGGGCAGTGTGGCTTGCAGGTAACCTGCCAGCTCATAATGCACATTGTTATAGTCTCTGACACTTTTTGAAGGGGGAAAAAAAAAAAAGCACACATTAATGAGAGACAACAAAACAAGAGACCAGGTTGGGGTAAGAAGAGAGAGTTTGCTGGAGAGCCTGAAAGCAAATGGTCAAATGTGACAAAGTCTATACACCTAGTGCAGCTAACTGCCTTCTATGTGGAAGTCCAGTAAATGGAGTGGAACTTTCAGGAAGCGCTATTGATTTGGGCATTTAAAAATAAGCTGAACAAAAGTTTGCAGTTTAAAAAAAAAAAACAGCAAGGAAGGCGAAGCTTTATTTCCATGGTGTACGGGGAGTCACATTTCTCCAGCGGATGTGAGATGGATGATAGAGAGAGTTCTCACTCCACTTAATGCTTGCCGACAAGTTTTTATTTAAACAAAACTTGTTAAGGTGTTGTCTTAATAGGCAAAAATTCCACAGGGGTCCCCTAGGTGGGTTTCTTCTGGGTAAATGGTGCATGCACTGCTCCTGATTGATCCCATTCCAGTTGTAGAGCTGGAGCGGTTTGTACCCATCTGCTATAAATTGCATGCTTTCTGCTTTTTAAGAGCCTATTTTCTGTAAATGTTTGGAAAAACCTCTCAAAAAACATTTAAATTAACACACACAAAAAATCTAACCTAAGAAGTAAAAGTCACTGGTGTGATGAGAGTGTAAGCCGCTCACTTGCTCAGCATTAGCAAGTGTTTATTTGTATAAGATTCTAACTACTGGAATCAATGGACATGCCTCTCACTCTCTGTGAACACGATGTAGTGCACAGCGTTAAACACACAACTAGTTGTAAGTTTATTCTTATTGATTGCACCCAAGTGCCATGGAAGAGGAAACAAGGTAACCAAGAAAAGAGCACCAAAGTTCCATGTAATACACAAAGACCAATTTCAACCCATTTTCCCAGTGCGAGAGATTGCATTTAATGCTCCTTGCTACATCTTCAGTCCTGGAAGGCGAGGAGGTGGGGGAAGAGAAATTCAAAGACATTTTCCTCAAACTCTTATCACTTTAATCCAGGAGATCAATATCACCTTTGCCATGTTTTCTGGTTGCTTCTCACAGTCTATCAACCTAACTCTCCTAAATAAGTTCAGCTTCAGCTTTCATTCAATACTGGTAACTGTATGCAGAATGTTGCAAAATACACAAAGCAAAACTGAGGAAAACTCAGAAAATATTGCTTTTTCTCCAATCTCTTTTAGAGATCACAACTTTAGGTGTTATGTATAATAAGAATAGGTGGGGGTGGGGGGAAGGGAATAAGGCAATTATGTGAGAGAAAGGAGTACCTCCTACACAGACATAACTTCATCAGAAATCTGTGTCATAAAAGTAGAGTTATATTTAACTCCAGTTTGTTTTGGTTAAGGCTGACTGTTTTCACCCATTCAAAAAATTAATATCAACAAAAGGTCAAAGAGAAGATTGAGTGTAAGGGTGTGGGGAGGGATGCAGATGTTGAGGGGAAACCAGCAGGCGAAGGAGTGTAAGCATTGTTTCCTCAATTCGTTTTTGATTTCCATGGAAAGTAACTGACTCAAAACATCTGTGTTCACTCAAGTTGCTGGTATGCCTTGTAGATATGTGGTACAGTTTTTCCTTAGAAAATTGCAAACAGGCTCCACATCTGCACTGGCAAAAGGCAAAACTCTTAGAGAATTAGTACACTTAATCTGACTCATTTGAGTCATTTAATTTAATTGATAAGATTGCACAAATTGTCGTGAAAAATTAATCAAGAATTGAGTTTAACAGATGAATGTAGTAATTTCTACACCAGCAATCAGCTCTCGACTACTGCTACTATGGTCCAGTTATTTTCACAGCACTTCCTATACACTCTGGAAACCATTTTTTTCCTCTCTTACTGTTACACACGTGAGTGGAACTTCGCTATTACTATTGATTTTATGTGGCAGGAGTTCAGATACTACCGTGATGGGCAGCAGTTTACAAGCCTACGATGAATCACTTGTTCAAAGTCAGCTCAAATGGAGAGTAAATGACTAAACCCACACATTTATTTATGCTTTTAGGAGACCAAAATACCCCCTTGAGCTAAATTCCTAATATAACATTTCTGTGTAGTGGCAATCTCAGTTTTCTACTCACCTCCTTCCCCCAAATTTACATTTCCCCAGTTCTTAGTTCAGTACTTGGCTCTAATCACCTCTCTAAAACCTACTGTCTAATCCTTTCCCCCCTATATTAGTACACCTGTACATGTTAGGTAGAGATACAGATGTAACCTACTGATCAGTATGTGTTATGCATCCCCCCCTCTGTTCCCTACCCACACAGAATCAGAGTTTGTTACGGACTCCAGCTTCAATTCCAGCTGTAGAAATTCACGTGTTTAGCTCTGGAGGTCACTGGTTCAATCCCTGGTATGTTGGCCAAGGTGGCCAAACAAACACACACCCAACATTGCACATTATATACATGTATCCCATTTTTCTAGACTCTTTTTCCCACCTCCAGGTCACTCATGAAGGTTTTCTAGTTGTAATATATTTTAACGTGTATTAAAGATTGCCCTGTTGGCCCATTTGGAGTCTGCATACTTAGGTATCATTCAGTTCCTTGCCCCTTTTTTGTTTCCAATAATTTTGCAGTTTTATCATTTGAGTTCAGTGCTAATCTTTAGGAGAGGGGTTGTTTGTTGGTTTTTACTCTGTTAGATTTTACTCACTGCAATTGATCTTAACCTCTTACTGATCACCACAATTTATATTAATATTTTATACTGCAGGCAACTCAGCACTTGACTAGATTATAGTCAATAAAAGAAAATAGGATTAAAAAGATGAGTCTTAATATTTGGATAGGGATTTCAAACTCCACAAAGGCCAGGAGTGTTTGGATATAGGGTTTTGGTGTCACCCACTCTAAAGTTAGGTATTTTGACTCCGAACTCTTCTTATAGCTTGGTGGAGCTCAAAACCAGGGGTTTGGTCCAGCTCTCACAGCCTTACTACTCAGTACCTACTGCATTGCTGTATAATTGGATTGTTTCTTGGTGCAGAGATACTACTGGTACTTGCCAGAGGCATCCCTCATAAAGATGTCACACTCACTCTCTTATTTAATGGCTTATAATGATCTTTCCTTAAGTCTAGCAATTTTCCTAAAATCTATTTCTAGAACTAAATTTGTGTAAAATCAACATTTTACAGTGTCTCTCTCTCAAAGCGTATTCCTTAATGCGGAAACATTCTCTTTGAATTTCACATAAACAATTCCATTCAGTCTAGACAGATTCTGCAAACTTTAACATCTTCATTTATTAACCCATCAACATCGTCTTCTGCTTAAAGCTTGCCTTTTATCCTGATGGGTACAAAAACACTGAACAAATGTTACTAACAGTTCTATGCAGACTAAATAGAAGGATCATTTCACCCGCACTGACATCAGCCACCTCGGTGTTGTGCTGTGGCAGCTGAACTACACAACACTTCAGATACAGTTTTCTTCCTCATTTTATATACTGATTGGAAATGCAGGGGAATTAGGCAGGCAGAATCTAATAACCCAACATGTAATTTGACCAAGACCCTGAGATTATCTTACTACATATAGCAAGGGGGGAAAAAATTACCAAAGGGCTATTTTCTTGACAGAGTGACTGATATGAGATTGCTCTGATAGCTTGTTGACCAGCTCAGAAGTGGACAAAAGTCCTAAGCCCTAACAATAACATGACCTTTATACGGAAGGTATGGTATACTACTTATCGCACATGCTCCAATATCTACAGTTCAGGACACAGAACTGTACTGGCTCCATACTCAATGTTTGTATCTCATGAAAGGAAGATAAGAACTCCTCAAGGAAGACAGAAGAAGAAAATTAGAAGCCCAGCTATGCCCTACCCTTTGATGTTATGGTAAGGCTACCATCTTACTGACTCCAATGGAGCCACAGCACCTGCAGTCAAGAGTAGCAGTCTGCCTGAAAATCCAGTTACATCTAGAAGAGGGGCCATATAAAAATGACACCAAGTGAAAGGAACCGCTCCCCGAGTTAAATCCTGGCTCTGTGGAAATCAATGGAAGTTTTAGCATTGAATTCAGTGGGTTCAGGATTTCACCACATGTGTCTAGTCAGATCTGGCTGCTTCCATGTTAAAGCACATTTTACTTTAATATTTTAGCTCCTACAAGCACAGCACAGCCAATATGGATCTGGGAGAGCAAAGGGGATTCTATTCTAGCTTGCTGAGTAGCAAAAGAGTTGTTAACTAAGTTCCAATTGCAAAGCCAGATTCTGCCCTTGCTCACACCTGTGCAGTTTCACTGAAAATATTTGGGTTGCACTGTGGAGAGAACAGAATTTGGAGACAGGGGAGGTTACACAGGTACAACC